TTTCATGTTGTTGATGCTAAATTCTGACTCTACCATCTGAATGTCGCAGCAGAAATCCAGACTCATCAGACCAGGCAACGTTTTTCCAATCTTCTGTTGTCCAGTTTTGGTGAGCCTGTGTGAATTGTAGCCTCAGTTTCCTGTTCTTAGCTGACAGGAGTGGGACTAGGTGTGGTCTTCTGCTGCTGTAGTCTATCCTCCTCAAGGTTTGTTGTGTTGTGTGTTCAGAGATGATCTTCTGCCTACCTCAGTTGTAACGGGTGGTTATTTGAGTCACTGTTGCCTTTCTATCAGCTCCAACCAGTCTGCCCATTCTCCTCTGACCTCTGGCATCAACAAGGCATTTGCACCCACAGAACTGCCGCTCACTGGATATTTTCTCTTTTTCGGACCATTCTCTGTAAACCCTAGAGATGGTTGAGGGTGAAAATCCCAGTAGATCAGCAGTTTCTGAAAACCAGCCCGTCTGGCACCAACAACCATGTTCAAAGTCACTTCAATCAACCTTTCTTTCTCATTCTGATGCTTGGTTTGAACTTCAGCAGATCGTCTTGGCCATGTCTACATACCTAAATGCATTTAGTTGCTGCCGTGTGACTGGATGATTTGACATTTATGTGAATGAGCAGTTAGACAGGTTTACCTAATAAAGTGGCCAGTGAGTGAATCTTATAGGGCTGGTTATTAACTKGTTATTAACTGCTAAAGGTTGATAATGTTCTGTTAAAATAAACTAGGATCTTTCAGCTAAACGACACCGAAAAAGCTAATATTTACCTTCAAAATAAAAGCTTCAAGCTGGAAATGGACAACAAATCCCTGCTAGAAAATAATTGCTTGCGCTTTACTTTGAAATGCATAAACTGGGGTTTCTTTCTCCCTCTTGTCGGTCGATATGAAACGCTTATGTCATGCTAAATTTTTCAGCGGTATCACCCAGCCCTAATACAGTTGTGGTCAAAAGTTTACATACMCTTGTAAAGAAACAAAATGTTATGGCTGTCTTGAGTTTTCAATAAGTTCTACAACTCTTATTTTTCTGTGATAGAGTGATCGGAACACATACATGTTTGTCACAAAAAACAG